AGCTGTCCTTCTGCAGTCATACAGGTACAGATACACATGGATACCACCCATACATACATACATGCATACCATAAGAGACACATACATACATGCCCCTCCTACTGGTGGAACAGTGACAAGTACCTGGGCCCAGCTGTCCTTCTGCAGTCATACAGGTACAGATACACATGGATACCACCCATACATACATACATGCATACCATAAGAGACACATACATACATGCCCCTCCTACTGGTGGAACAGTGACAAGTACCTGGGCCCAGCTGTCCTTCTGCAGTCATACAGGTACAGATACACATGGATACCACCCATACATACATACATGCATACCATAAGAGACACATACATACATGCCCCTCCTACTGGTGGAACAGTGACAAGTACCTGGGCCCAGCTGTCCTTCTGCAGTCATACAGGTACAGATACTCATGGATACCACCCATACATACATACATGCATACCATAAGAGACACATACATACATGCCCCTCCTACTGGTGGAACAGTGACAAGTACCTGGGCCCAGCTGTCCTTCTGCAGTCATACAGGTACAGATACTCATGGATACCACCCATACATACATACATGCATACCATAAGAGACACATACATACATGCCCCTCCTACTGGTGGAACAGTGACAAGTACCTGGGCCCAGCTGTCCTTCTGCAGTCATACAGGTACAGATACTCATGGATACCACCCATACATACATACATGCATACCATAAGAGACACATACATACATGCCCCTCCTACTGGTGGAACAGTGACAAGTACCTGGGCCCAGCTGTCCTTCTGCAGTCATACAGGTACAGATACTCATGGATACCACCCATACATACATACATGCATACCATAAGAGACACATACATACATGCCCCTCCTACTGGTGGAACAGTGACAAGTACCTGGGCCCAGCTGTCCTTCTGCAGTCATACAGGTACAGATACTCATGGATACCACCCATACATACATACATGCATACCATAAGAGACACATACATACATGCCCCTCCTACTGGTGGAACAGTGACAAGTACCTGGGCCCAGCTGTCCTTCTGCAGTCATACAGGTACAGATACTCATGGATACCAACCATACATACATACATGCATACCATAAGAGACACATACATACATGCCCCTCCTACTGGTGGAACAGTGACAAGTACCTGGGCCCAACTGTCCTTCTGCAGTCATACAGGTACAGATACTCATGGATACCACCCATACATACATACATGCATACCATAAGAGACACATACATACATGCCCCTCCTACTGGTGGAACAGTGACAAGTACCTGGGCCCAGCTGTCCTTCTGCAGTCATACAGGTACAGATACACGTGGATACCACCCATACATATATACATGCATACCATAAGAGACACATACATACATGCCCCTCCTACTGGTGGAACAGTGACAAGTACCTGGGCCCAGCTGTCCTTCTGCAGTCATACAGGTACAGATACTCATGGATACCACCCATACATACATACATCATACCATAAGAGACACATACATACATGCCCCTCCTACTGGTGGAACAGTGACAAGTACCTGGGCCCAGCTGTCCTTCTGCAGTCATACAGGTACAGATACACATGGATACCACCCATACATACATACATGCATACCATAAGAGACACATACATACATGCCCCTCCTACTGGTGGAACAGTGACAAGTACCTGGGCCCAGCTGTCCTTCTGCAGTCATACAGGTACAGATACACATGGATACCACCCATACATACATACATGCATACCATAAGAGACACATACATACATGCCCCTCCTACTGGTGGAACAGTGACAAGTACCTGGGCCCAGCTGTCCTTCTGCAGTCATACAGGTACAGATACTCATGGATACCACCCATACATACATACATGCATACCATAAGAGACACATACATACATGCCCCTCCTACTGGCGGAACAGTGACAAGTACCTGGGCCCAGCTGTCCTTCTGCAGTCATACAGGTACAGATACACATGGATACCACCCATACATACATACATGCATACCATAAGAGACACATACATACATGCCCCTCCTACTGGTGGAACAGTGACAAGTACCTGGGCCCAGCTGTCCTTCTGCAGTCATACAGGTACAGATACACATGGATACCACCCATACATACATACATGCATACCATAAGAGACACATACATACATGCCCCTCCTACTGGTGGAACAGTGACAAGTACCTGGGCCCAGCTGTCCTTCTGCAGTCATACAGGTACAGATACACATGGATACCACCCATACATACATACATGCATACCATAAGAGACACATACATACATGCCCCTCCTACTGGTGGAACAGTGACAAGTACCTGGGCCCAGCTGTCCTTCTGCAGTCATACAGGTACGGATACTCATGGATACCACCCATACATACATACATGCATACCATAAGAGACACATACATACATGCCCCTCCTACTGGTGGAACAGTGACAAGTACCTGGGCCCAGCTGTCCTTCTGCAGTCATACAGGTACAGATACTCATGGATACCACCCATACATACATACATGCATACCATAAGAGACACATACATACATGCCCCTCCTACTGGTGGAACAGTGACAAGTACCTGGGCCTAGCTGTCCTTCTGCAGTCATACAGGTACAGATACTCATGGATACCACCCATACATACATACATGCATACCATAAGAGACACATACATACATGCCCCTCCTACTGGTGGAACAGTGACAAGTACCTGGGCCCAGCTGTCCTTCTGCAGTCATACAGGTACAGATACTCATGGATACCACCCATACATACATACATGCATACCATAAGAGACACATACATACATGCCCCTCCTACTGGTGGAACAGTGACAAGTACCTGGGCCCAGCTGTCCTTCTGCAGTCATACAGGTACAGATACTCATGGATACCACCCATACATACATACATGCATACCATAAGAGACACATACATACATGCCCCTCCTACTGGTGGAACAGTGACAAGTACCTGGGCCCAGCTGTCCTTCTGCAGTCATACAGGTACAGATACTCATGGATACCACCCATACATACATACATGCATACCATAAGAGACACATACATACATGCCCCTCCTACTGGTGGAACAGTGACAAGTACCTGGGCCCAGCTGTCCTTCTGCAGTCATACAGGTACAGATACTCATGGATACCACCCATACATACATACATGCATACCATAAGAGACACATACATAAATGCCCCTCCTACTGCTGGAACAGTGACAAGTACCTGGGCCCAGCTGTCCTTCTGCAGTCATACAGGTACAGATACTCATGGATACCACCCATACATACATACATGCATACCATAAGAGACACATACATACATGCCCCTCCTACTGGTGGAACAGTGACAAGTACCTGGGCCCAGCTGTCCTTCTGCAGTCATACAGGTACAGATACTCATGGATACCACCCATACATACATACATGCATACCATAAGAGACACATACATACATGCCCCTCCTACTGGTGGAACAGTGACAAGTACCTGGGCCCAGTTGTCCTTCTGCAGTCATACAGGTACAGATACTCATGGATACCACCCATACATACATACATGCATACCATAAGAGACACATACATACATGCCCCTCCTACTGGTGGAACAGTGACAAGTACCTGGGCCCAGCTGTCCTTCTGCAGTCATACAGGTACAGATACTCATGGATACCACCCATACATACATACATGCATACCATGAGAGACACATACATACATGCCCCTCCTACTGGTGGAACAGTGACAAGTACCTGGGCCCAGCTGTCCTTCTGCAGTCATACAGGTACAGATACACATGGATACCACCCATACATACATACATGCATACCATAAGAGACACATACATACATGCCCCTCCTAATGGTGGAACAGTGACAAGTACCTGGGCCCAGCTGTCCTTCTGCAGTCATACAGGTACAGATACTCATGGATACCACCCATACATACATACATGCATACCATAAGAGACACATACATACATGCCCCTCCTACTGGTGGAACAGTGACAAGTACCTGGGCCCAGCTGTCCTTCTGCAGTCATACAGGTACAGATACTCATGGATACCACCCATACATACATACATGCATACCATAAGAGACACATACATACATGCCCCTCCTACTGGTGGAACAGTGACAAGTACCTGGGCCCAGCTGTCCTTCTGCAGTCATACAGGTACAGATACTCATGCATACCACCCATACATACATACATCATACCATTACAGACACATACATACATAGATCATCTTTGCTTCTATAGTTCGCATAGCTTACGCTACATCTGAACATAGAACAACCATAAAGTTTTTTTCCACTCTTCGAGTGGCTGGAAAAATAAATTGGTAAAAAGTTATCAGGAAAACGGATGTTGGGAAAAATAGTCTTAAGAACTCTTTAGACAAACAAACATGCAGAAAAGTACTAGCGGAAAACTGAATACTGTGCGAAATTAGAATCCAAAAGTGACAATCGCAGCTTGTTGAAGATGGTGAAAATAATCAAGCAGGAGAAAGAAGCCTGAGAGGAAAAGCGCAGCCAGATGTTTAGTTTTTTATACTAGATTACAAACTAGTCAGATTTCAACAGGACGAAACCAATTACCAAAATTAATGAGTTGATTGTCAGCTTCAATAAGTGAACTCTTTTTTACAATTTTTTTGACATGCGAATTTCCGTATGAACAATTTTCAAATGGCTATTTTACAAGGGGTTGGGAAACTGGAAAAAAAGCCGAGCTTTTCGGCTCTCAACGGAAAACCACTCTTGTCACCCCGATATCGAACTACTTGTAAATATCTGGTCGCTTTTTCTGGGCCGAAAGTTTAGTATCACAGTCCAGCAAAAGCGCGGATGTAGGATAGTTTTGAAGCGCCGATGCTCCAACTGAGATTCGGAGAACTTAGCCGCTTCAACGCCGCTCCCTGTAATACGTATGATTTTGATTGGTGTGTTTTGTAGGTGGATGGTGGACAGTCGTGACGAGTACACGAAGGAGAGGCTGGATGCGATGAGGGATAAGTTCAGTGTGTACAGGTGTCACACCATCATGAACTGCACCAAGACATGTCCGAAGGGACTGAACCCAGGCAAGGCCATCGCCAACATCAAGAAGATGATGGTCAAGAACCCCAGGGAGAACGAGACGTACGGAAATGAAGGCCAAGGAGAGGCCACAGCCGCCACCGCATCAGCCTGACCAAGAGAAGTGAGGCGTGATCTGAACTGAATGAAATTAAAAGAAATCAGATGATGGGATCTACTTGACAAATCTCCCCTTCCCTGTGTCACTTACTAGCAACAGCCCCTTCCGCTTCAGAATACTTTGTTTAATAATCGAGTCAAAAATATAAATGTTGTGAACTTGCCGACGAATGTGAAAGGGAATGCGAATAAATTGTCAAGTAGACTTCATTGGACTTCATGTCTTATGAATGAACACTCACTTTTTTCATGTGACTAATTTTGACATCGAGTTCTCGACATAGATAACAATCAACTTTCTTTCTTTATTGGGAGCTTAAATGGATTCTTGCGTCGAGATTATAATTATGTAGATAAGGCAGAATTATAGCAACATGCGTACATGAGATAGAGAGTAAATATATTCTTGTAGATTACAACCTGTTTTCCTTCCAGTTTTTGAGGCTGTTGATGAAAATGAACTTGTGCACTTGTCTGACTAGCAAACACATTTGCTGGCAGAAGAAGCTTTCAAGTTCGAAACTTTAATTTGTTCCAAAAATTGTTGGCAATATTGGTGAACTTCGAGAGAATTAAACGGTCAAAAAGTGCTGTTTAGGTTAATTGGTATTTTTCACTTCGTTTAAGTGGTTTTCGACTACAAATGAGCGAGCTGTTGTAGGTCAATTAATTTTTTTCTGATTTGTCGGTCGGAAAAGATTCTGGTAACAATATATTATGAAGTTTTAAAGGGTGAGAAAAATGCCGCCGTTTTAGTATGAGTTTCGGGTCAAAAATAAGTTTATGGCTCGCTTGTTAGGAAAATACCAAGTCTGAAGTCGTAAACATTTTTAAACAGCTAAAGCTAAATTACGTATCTGCTCATTAGGAGTAAAACTGTCTCATTGCTTCATCTGTTAGAATAACTAGAAATAATTACGCTGGTGATTAGCAAACGTTATCAAATCGGAACATACTTCTAAATCAGACTGTTCCATGTAAACAATGTCTAACAAAATCATTGAATCAGTTTCCAAATCTGTGCTGACTTCAACCAACAGACATATGTACCCGTTATATTGCAGGTGTCTTGTGAGCGGGAGCTAAACTTTTACTCTACACAACTTTTGTTAAAATATGTAAATTAAACCTGATTTATTATTGAACCTTAACAACTTCCAGACTCCTTCTTACTTGGCCTAGAGTTAAATGCGGTTGTCTTTGCACTCTAAACCTAAGATATGAGATTTGAGTCCCGGCCTGAATTTTTTTCAGTGTTTGAAATTGCATTTGTTGTTTTTTAAGTTCTTTAGTTTGTAAGTTTTTTAATCTTGATTTAATATATTTTCTGTTTTTTTTTTCGCGTTTAATCTTAATTCAAAACTTTAATTGCTCCAATTTTTATGACAGCAATTTCTTAAAGCATTTTTTGGTCTTCAGCTTAATAGGTTTCTACTCACGTATCATCGGCTTAGTGGTCGCTGGGAAAATTACAAAAACTTTTTTAATGCTGTTAAGGTAATTGAGTTTCTCGTCTGTTTGTTTAATTGGTTTTTCTTTTCCGAAATTATAGTTTCACCTATTTTTTGTTTCACCTATTTTTCTACTTAGTTATTGCTGTTTTAATATTCGCTAGCTTGCTAGCCTACCTAACTTTCGTTACCTGAGGTAGCTTCTACTCTACCTAAGCTACGCTGCCTTAATGCTACGCTACCCTTCGCTAGCTTGTGTCGATGTTATTTTTGTATTGGTTGAAATTTTACCAACACTGATTTTGATATTTTTGGCTTAAAGTGTAAACGAACGAAGTTATATCTCGTATGTAGATCTTGATGTTTTTTGTGTATTTTTCAGGAAAAAAAATTTCAAGTGAGTTAATCACAACAGAAATGCATTCATACTTATTAATGCATTTACGAATGCCCAGGTGAATATGCTGTTTTTGGATCCAATTCAATCTCGTGCTAAAAATTAGCCAAGTTGCGCTCTCCGGCAAAGCGGAAATGACCAAAAAACGTGAAAAACTTCTATTTAAACAATGGATGTTTATTTGTAGATTTACCAGCGGAATAAAAAACTTACCCAATGATCCAGTTTTGTTAAACTGGGTTGTTGTTATCAAAAAAGGTCAATCATAAATTGCTCCAAAAAATCAAAGAAATGAGCGTTTGATGAGCGGAAAAAATTTATTGTTCGTGTGTGTTTTGAGGCTGTTTGATGAGCGGAAAAAATTTATTGTTCGTGTGTGTTTTGAGGCTCAATCTATTTTTTCCGTGTCAATGGGTTTCTACGCAAGTTTTGTCGGATTTTTTTCTGTTCCGTTGCTAATATAACATTCAATTGTTTTACTTGGCATGTTTTTCTCAGTATGAACTTAATTCAAGACAGACATTTTTCGACGGAGCAGCTTTTCCCTCATTTTCTGACTGGTGTCTTGCCCTGTGTTGTTTTTGTTGCCTCACAAATGCTGCGAAGCTCCGCTTCACCTCTGTTTTAAGTTTCTCTGAGGCAGCTTTTGAAAGCTTTTTCGTTTCAAATCAAAATCAAACTAAGCTTTTCTGATAAATGGGAGAAGTTGTCTTCATTAGCAATGATAATGTAATACAACTGAAACTCAAATTTGTTCCATTTTAAATTTAAACTTACGAGCTGCCTCGAATTGAACATGAATGCTTCATTATGGGAGGGGGTTGCTATTGTTTGGCTGGCACAAAACGGGATGGCATAGAAATTTATGTAAAAGGAGGAAAGAGGAAGCGCATTTATTTTCGCGTTTAAAACTGCCTTACTTGAACTGAAACGTTAATTTGCCTCAACTCTCACAACATTTCCCGTCATTTCAACTTACCTTTCCTCATAATTGTTGGAAGCTTACTCAGTTGCCGAAATTAGAAGCTGAAACACATTTAAAACCTCCGCGGCAAAATAAATGATAATTTGCATGCTTAGATATTGCTCACATCCGCAACAACGTCAATCCTAGCAATAGAAATTAAGAGAAGCTTGGCGCCAATTATCCATTTTAACGTCTGTTTATTTCGAACCAAAATAGTGAAAAACTAGACAAGCAGAAGAAACAGTTGAGAAATATTACTCGAATTACTGCTGCCCAACAATGAGTAATCTGAGCATGGAAGATTTCACGCAGGATGACCTGGTGGACTTCCAGAGGGCGTTCCAGATGCAGACCAAGATTGAGAGCTCCCCCAGTTTCAGAGACGGAGACGCGGAGAAACTGCTGCGCAAAGTGAACCTGAAGTTGGACGATGACAAGAAGCGATTCATCAACAACCAAGTAGGCTGGCCAAATTTTGTGCATCTTTTCATTATGCACAAAAGCGACGTCATTGTTTTCAATTGAATGCTGCTTGATAAGTTTTTGAGAAACAATCAGTAAATGATGGCGAAAATTATGCTGGCCATGTTTTTTGCAAAATTATGGCGCAAGTTTCTTTCAAAGCATAATATTTTAAGTAGGGTAACGAAATCATTATTCTACGAAGTTTCCTTTTTTGTATCATTTTTCTTTTAGAAATTCCTGTTTGATTAAAACAGGTATTATGAAAATTTATATGATTGGATTTTTATTTTACTTTTTTTGAGACGCTTTGGAAACATTTTTCACAATTTGAAAAACTTAGTTTTTCTGGAAACTTACTTTATCGAATGTGAGATTTTGTGTTTAACGGATATAACAGGTTGTGAGAAAATCCCCTGCATAAGCGGCTACGCCCAATTTGTTTTACACAAAAAGTTATGGCCCTCAGAAAAGTCAAGTTTTCGATCTTTTGACCGTTTTTTGAAACTTTTTGACTTTTCTCATAAACCACCTTCCCAAATCTGGGATTTTAAATTTAATCGAAAGTACAGGTTGTGAGAAGCTCTCCTGCATCAGCGGTTCTGTCCAAATTTTTTTTGCACAAAAAAATAATGACCCTCGGAGTTTTCGATTTTTTCTCCTTCTTTTGAAACTTTTCCAATTTCTCAAAAACCACCCTCCCAAACCTGGAAATTTGATTTCAATGGATAGAAAAAATTTTGGAAAGCTCCCCTGCATAAGCGATGACGCCCAATTTTTTTGCACAAAAAGTTATGGCCCTAGAAAAATGTCGAATTTTCGATTTTTAGACTTTTTTGATTTTGGTTTCAATGGGTAGAACAAGTCGTGAGAGTTTTGCTTGAAGAAGCGGTTACGCCCAATTTTTTTACACAAAAAGTTATGACCCTCGGAAAAGTCGAATTTTTGACTGTTTTTGAAATTTTGACTTTTCGCAAAAACTACCCTCCCTAATCTGAGATTTTGGTTTCTGTGTAAAGATTGGGTTGTGGAAAGCTTTACTGTATAAACGATTAAGCCCATTTTTTTTCTGCACATAAAGTAATGACCCTCGGAAAAGTCAAAATCTCGATTTTTTTAAACCGTTTTTTGAAACTTTTTGACTTCTGTAGCGTACCCAAGTCTAATGAGCAACACTTTAAGCATCTTTGAACCTAACAGGCTCTTTTATCAGTTCAATTATTAAAAAATTGAAGTAATTGATGAAATAAATAGATTTTGAAGTCATTTTTATTGGAATTTACTTTTCTTTGCTATAGGTCTGTATTTGAAATTACACTTGTCCTTCCGCATCAATACAAAAATTTTAAAAATTATCAAACAGGTATTTCCGGATATAGCTGGCCTCCTGGTAGTTTTGTCCGGCAAACCGTTTAATCGAATTTAGAGCGCTCAAAAAAAGAACTGTTTTGGACTAAACTCTCCGTAAATGATCAAAAACCTCAACCTCATTTTTGCTCCAAAATGGCCTGGTCTTGAAAATTGTCGTGACAAATAGTCATTATGGCGGGGATAAATTAGCGATTTTTACGATTGATTCCATAGTTTTTGTAAAGATGTTCAAAAAATGCTAATTTTTTAAAATTAAATTGGTTTTCGAGAACTTACAGACATAAAAATACTTTATTTTGTTCAAGAATATTTGCACGGAAGCAAATTTCAGTAACAATGCGACATGCGCGTTTTGGAAAAACATATATATATTTTTAAAATTAGTTAGGGCCTTCGGATTTTTCTTAGATTTTCATTGAATGTTTGAATTGACCGAGCAAAACTGATTTTATGGTTTTTGGATTAGTCAATTAATACTGATTTATACTGAGTAGAATAATGCATACGGGAAAGGCGGTCGGTCAGATCAAATGATTCATCCTATTTGTTTTTATCGCGAACAAACAAAGTAATCTGAACACATTTGTTTGCATACACCACGGCCTATTTTTCAACCTTAAATCATTAGCGGATTTTTTTGTGGGCAGACGCCCCTGAAGAAATATAATATTGGCTGACCGACCCTAAAAAGCGCGGGCACCAAAAACTTCAGGATTTGCGTGCGCCAAAAAAAACGCAAAACTTTGCGAAGAGAATTTAGTCGAAACACGGTCTTCTTCGTGATTTGGGAGAGCTCAAAATTTATTTTGGGTGGCCTAAAAAAATTCGACAAAATTTTCAGAATTTTTGTGAAAATCCAACCCCGGGAAAATCCTAGATCCACCCCTACAGAAAACGACGCGGTTTCTTGTAATCATAATAAGTCGTTTTCGAGTGTTACCTACAAAACATAACTTATCTTTATGCAATACTTAATCACTCGAGAAAACGTCAAAAGACACTGCTGCCTGTCCAGCGATGCCTCTGAAATCATTTATTTTTTATTCTCTCTTCACAAAAAGTATGAGAGAAAAAAATGTGTTCCTTCTGTTTCTTTTGAAGAGTAATGAACGTAGTAAAGACTCTGATAGAGGTCTTGCTGATTTTTTGTTTGTTTTTTTTTTAGGAAAAAATCTTTAAAATATTGATGCCTTTAGGTATATATGCGTTTTTGAGTTCGATTGAAACTCATCCGCTGAAAGTGACGGAAATAGTACTCTCCTAATACGAACGTGAAAAAAGCTCGAAAATTTGAGAACGAAAGTCGAATTTAATTTTTAGATTTCCAGCGGAATAAAATTTTGTTGATCCAGTTTTCTCAAGTTGATGTTATCAAAAAAGCGGTAATCATAAGTTGTTATAGAACTTAAAGAGCTTGAAGAGCATCTTTATTTTTCTCTGAAGTTGGAAAGTTGAGATTTTTTCAATAAATTTTGGCAAAATTTAATTTTAGAAGTCAGTGTTTTTTATGTTTACTTGCTTTCATTATTTTTTTCCAATCTTCGATTGACTCTGTTTAAAATGCCACAACAACTTTAAGTTTTTGAACATTTTTTGCCCGTATACATTTTTTAACTTACCAAAAAAGATACCAAACTCGTTGTTATCCAGCATATCTAAATCTCTGAGTTTGTGCAGATAGTTTTTTTTATACTTTATTCAAATCCACAAAAGTCCTTATAAACGACGTTTTCCATGGAATAGCTTAATGAAAATTGTTTTTATTCTGCTGCAGAGCATTTGTTTTTACTTTTTGTGTTTTTAACTTTCCCTTTCGACTTACTTCATTGATTGTACTATAGTTTTCATTGAATAATTGAATTGACCGAGCAAAACTGATTTTATGGTTTTTGGATTAGTCAATTAATACTGATTTATACTGAGTAGAATAATGCATACGGTAAAGGTGGTCGGCCAGATCAAATGATTCATCCTATTTGTTTTTATCGCGAACAAACAAAGTAATCTGAACACATTTGTTTGCATACACCACAGCCTATTTTTCAACCTTAAATCAGTAGCGGATTTTTTTGTGGGCAGACGCCCCTGAAGACATATAATATTGGCTGACCAACCCTAAACAGCGCGGGCACCAAAAACTTCATGATTTGCGTGCGCCAAAAAAAACGCAAAAACTTTGCGAAGAGAATTTAGTCGAAACACGGTCTTTTTAGTGATTTGGGAGAGCTCAAAATTTATTTTGGGCGGCCTAAAAAAATTCGACAAAATTTTCAGAATTTTTGTGAAAATCCAACCCCGGGAAAATCCTAGATCCACCCCTACAGAAAACGACGCGGTTTCTTGTAATCAGAATAAGTCGTTTTCGAGTGTTACCTACAAACATAACTTATCTTTATCTAATATTTATTCACTCGAGAAAACATCAAAAGACACTGCTGCCTGTCCAGCGATGCCTCTGAAATCATTTATTTTTCATTCTCTCTTCACAAAAAGTATGAGAGAAAAAAATGTGTTCCTTCTGTTTCTTTTAAAGAGTAATGAACGTAGTAATGACTCTGATAAAGGTCTTGCTGATTTTTTGTTTGTTTTTTTTTTTAGGAAAAAATCTTAAAAATATTGATGCCTTTAGGTATATATGCGTTTTTGAGTTCAATTGAAACTCATCCGCTGAAAGTGACGGAAATAGTACTCTCCTAATACGAACGTGAAAAAAGCTGGAAATTTTGAGAACGAAAGTCGAATTTAATTTTTAGATTTCCAGCGGAATAAAAACTTGTTGATCCAGTTTTCTCAAGTTGAGATAATGTTATCAAAAAAGCGGTAATCATAAATTGTTATAGAACTTAAAGAGCTTGAAGAGCATCTTTATTTTTCTCTGAAGTTCGAAAGTTGAGATTTTTTCAATAATTTTTGGCAAAATTTAATTTTAGAAGTCAGTGTTTTTTATGTTTACTTGCTTTCATTGTTCTTTTCCAATCTTCGATTGACTCTGTTTAATATGCCACAACAACTTTAACTTTTTGAACATTTTTTGCCCGTATACATTTTTAAACTTACCAAAAAAGATACCAAACTCGTTGTTATCCAGCATATCTAAATCTCTGTTCACATAGTTTTCCTTTATACTTTATTCAAATCAACAAAAGTCCTTATTAACGACTTTTTCCATGGAATAGCTTAATGAAAAGTGTTTTTATTCTGCTGTAGAGCATTTGTTTTTAATTTTTGTGTTTTTAACTTTCCATTTCGACTTACTTCTTTGATTGTACTATAGTTTTCAGCACTTGATAAGCCTTCTATCAATTTTTTAACTGTATGTATTTTTGCTAATATTTTAATAAGCTTCTTGGTCGTTTCCTTAACTGAGTAAAGTTTAAGTCAAGTTCGTATCTCGCATACGACTTAGTACTAATCGGTATCAATCGATGCTTGCAAGAATTTCAAATGTTTTGACTTCGTTTCTTTTAATGCCAGTTTCTCTTCATCTAACAAATTAGTCACTTGTTCAAGCTCATGTGTTCTAAAATAGGGAAAAATTGACCTTACAAAGTTGTATCGTCAGCGAATATTATCAACTTACTGTGTTGACATAAATTGGGTAAGTCAACATTATACAAAATGAATAA